GCATCGAAGTCAACAGCATTCAAAACCTCTTTTAAGCAAGATGGAGCAGTGGGGTCCCCCTCTAAAGCCTTCATTAAATCTCTCTTGAAGAACTGGGCCTTGACCTTCGCCAACGCATCATCAAGAGGAGAAGTCTCAGTAGATTTCCCCGACAGAGTAGGAATTTCCTGACTGGTGTCAGAAGAACTCTTACTCTCGACGATTGCATTAAGGTAGCTGACAGGGTCAGTTTGCTTTAAGATTTCCAAGTCCTCTTTTGACCTGTGCTTTGAGGAGGTGACCCTTGCCATGGTATTTTCTTGGACTGGAGGCTGTTGAATGCTGAGTGCCTCGTTTGGTTGCTCTTCGACTTGAACTGAGGCGGTACTAGCGTCGACATGTGGTTCTTCGTTAACATCACCTTGGGGTCCTTCGCCAGCGTCCTTTTGTGGCTCTTCGCTAGCGTCACCCTGGTGGTCTTCGCCAGCACCACCTTGATGCTCTTCGTCAACAGCATCTTGATTCTCTTCGCCATTGCCTTGGTCTTTTCCTTCAGGATTCTCTTCTGACAACAAGTCTACCACAGGAACCGTTTCTGGCTGTGTTTCCTCCGCCATAGGTTCTTCAGTTGTCTTCTCCACTGTTTCAGCATTGGCCTCAGTCTCAGTGTGGGCTTCGTCATTGCCCAAATTTTTCTCCTGAGGCCTGCTGAGTTCGGCAGATTCTAGAGTTTCTGAAGTCCTTGGTGGAGAACTTCCAGTGGTGTCCTGAAAAGGAGAAAGAAGACAAATCTTCAGATGTCGAAAGAGACATAATCAAATACTGGTATCTATGCCTAAGTTATAAGAAGGGTCCAATAGATTACCTGTGGATTGACTTCAGCCCCAGGGCTGGAATTGTCACTTTCGACAGGCTTGGTAACAAGAGCGTTCAGTTCCTCCTCAGTTGGTTCTTCAATGACCACTGCAGGTGGCCTAGGCTTTCTCACACCAACCTTTATTCTGACGGTTCGACCTTCAGGAGCTGGAGTAGGAACAGAAGCGTCCTTCGTTAACTTTCGCCTCTTTAGGGGAGAAGGAGGGGAATCGCTTTCGTCATCACTCCCCGATTCGATCACCAATGCTGCCCTTTTCTTGGGCGAAGGGGCCTGGAAAACCAATAGGAATTCGATTGAATAATTACGTCGAAAATAAAAAATCGAAAGCCAGAATGAAAATGAAGAAAATCTGGTTACCGATGCAGGAGGCCTCCTCGAAGAGCCTTCCCCCTGTTGGTTGCCTGTTGTCTTCGCCGGCGCTATAGTCTTCGCCGGCGGTGGAGGTTTCGTCGAAGGGACCCCTCCTTGTGGGCCTCCTATAGCCTTCTTGGCCAAGGGTTTTCGAACAACTGGAAGCGAAAAGGAAAGTTAACAGGCTAACAGTCGAAGAGAAAGATAAAAAGTAATGTGAGAGTATGAACTTACATTTCTTTACTTTGTCCAACACAAGGACAAAAGACTTCTGCAACTCTGATATGAAGTCCTTCTCGTCGAAGAAGTACTCAGCGTAATAGCTTCTCCACCACTCTTCAAAAGATGGTGAGCAAAGGAAGTTAAGCTGGTAGTTGAACAGCGAGAGGATTGTTCGACCAGCATACCTTCCGATATGCTTGGTAGCAGCTTCTTCTGTATAATCGTTGCAGAAGTACAACATTGACTTCTCTCTTGGGAAAATGGGAGAAGGCAGGGTTTGGATGATACCAAACTGGCGAGATACCAGATTTGGTTGATAAGCAAGCAGACTCAGATGAGTCTTAGAACTCTTAAATCAAAGAGGCATGATCCTGGGTGTCAGGAACGCCTCCCAAAGTATAGTGTGCTCATCGACATTGGGACCACTCGACTCCTTGGGATGTGGCCTCGTAAACCATGCTGGCCCCACCCTTCGTTGAGCAAATGGAGCCATAGTTGAAACAAATTCCTTCCTTCGAGCGAACATCAGCACGAAGTTAGTGAAGGTTTGTTGGAACTCTAGCCCATCTTCTACAGGTGTCAGTAGAGCCAGCCTAATTCCTTCGATACGTCTATTAGCTATCGCTGGGGCTTGTTCATTTATCTGAGTCTTCTTGGGTATGAAAGACTCGAAAGTGGCGTTAAGCCACAGTTGAAGTAGCCAGAAAGGCCCAGCGAGTAGCAAACTGTTCCTATCCTCGACATGCTTCAAGAGAGTAACCCCATTGCTGATTGAGTCATAAAGACTGGCCAGAATTAGTTCTGCCAAACAGATGTTTTGGCGGTGATGCAGTTGGGTGGCCAGAGTGACCATCTTTTTGGTCACTTGCAGAGACTTCGAACAAAACACAAAGCGAGTTAGCCATAAGGCTAGAAACGCTATGTGTTCGACATCCGACACTGTGTCCGTCGACCTGTCGTGAAAATGGTTGATAAAGGTGGTGAATGTTGGCTTGGTTTCGGAGAAGCCAATTTGGTCCTCCGACATCTCTTCCGGGTCGAAGTAATCCCCGGTTGGTCGAAGGCCAGTGATGGCTGCTACGTCGAAGAGTGTGGGGGTTAACATCCCACATGGAAGGTGAAAGGTGAAGTGAGAGTTATCCCAGAACAACAGCGAAGCTATAAGCATCTCTGGGGAGTAGTTTAAGCCTGTCTTCGACAGCATTATTAGGTCAAAGATTCCCATTTCCTTCCAGACTGGAGTTTGATGTTTCTCCAACTTTGTTAGCCAAGCAACATAGTCAGAGGTCAGATTAGGGCAAGACCTAAAGACTCTAACACTTCTGTTGAAGAAGCGAAGGTCGATCTTCTCGTGTGTAGGGTCTTCGTTGTCTTCTGCATCCTTCTTAGCACAGGCTACTGGTTTGAGTTTCTCGACAATGGGGAAGTAGCTCTTGATCTTCAGAGCTTCAGAGATGCTGGGGTTCATGGGTCCAGACATTGCGAAGATTTGGTTGGAGTATCCAACCGGAATCATCAAGTGACGCGAGTAAGCGTCGCGAACGGAGATGTCAGATGGTTCAGGGACCCTTCGTTTCCCTGTAGCGTTCACTACCGGAGCAGTAACAAAGACCTTGGGCTTAGCAAGTTGTTCAGTTGGTGCGTTAGTCTTGGGGGCAGTGGAAGCAGAGGCCATTGTTGAGGATGAAGATGAAGTTGGAAAAAGAAGAGTTTTTTCTGCAAAGAGAACAAGTTTGTAAGAAAGCAAGGGAGTTTGAGAGATAGTTTGCGTGAAAAGTCCCACAATGGGATATTCACTACTATTTATAGTAGTGGGAGAAATTCCCAATAAACGAGGACATTAAATGTCATTTAATGCTGCAGGAGTTAGTGGGACGCGTGGCAGCATCCTGTTGTTTTGGCCGTTTCTGCAGAAACAGAGAGACGCAGCGTGCGTCCTCATTTTTTGAATTTGTCATAATGACAAATTATGAAGTGATGTTTGGTTCTGCACGCCGTACTGACAGTGACGTCCTAGGATCAAATCAATGATGGTTTCTTGGGATTGCCAATAGTTGGTAAAAAGCAACAAAAAGTGCACAAGTTAACTTGTGACTAAGCGTGGAAAAACAGGTGTCGAATGGCGTTTTCAAAGAATGCCTTTTTCTTTCAGAGTCGAAATAAGGCATTCTTGGGGGGCAATTTGTTGGCTCCTAAATTCGACACCTTTGTTTTGATTGATGACAGCCATTAAAAGCTGAAGAATGCTTTCGACTGGCTAAGCCTGTCGAAGTGCCTGTCGAAAGATGGCAAAAATACTTAGAAGATTTCTTCCAAGGAAGAAGGCTGATTGCCTTCGACGTCGAAGGAGTTTTCGTCGAAGACGTCTCTTGACGAACGTGTTCGATGGTCCAGAGTGGAGCAGTTTGAAATTCAAAGCTTTGGAGGGAAAACGGTTTCCAGCAGTTACTACGTGCTAACGTGCAAGGATCTGGAGCGTCGAACATGGAGAACGTGACAAGTGGCTTGATCTCGAAGCAGTGTAACTGCCCGACGGTTACTTGGAATGTTTTTGTATAAATAGGAGTAGACGTGTAGTTTCTCGCGTGTGTTCACAATAGATACATAGTCACTCATTTAGATTCAAGTACCCAGTGTGAGCGAACGAATTGTTGAGAAATGTATGTGTGAAACACCAATTTTATCAATTCAAGTCATTTACTTTTCCAGTATTTTACATGCTTTTCCCCTTTAAGATTCCTGTCGAACCTTTACATTCAAGCCTTGTTTATTTTACCAAGCCTTTCCTTTATGCAATTTACTTTAAACAATTTACTTAAAGCCTTATCCACATTAATTAAACTTCAAAATCAACCTATGTCCATAGGATCAATCTGATCGATCCTGCGAGTAACCAAATAAGTAACCATTTGGAGGATCAGCGGTTGTTTACCAAATCCCTAGGTAAACAGTTAGCCATCAATTTACTAAGAAACATCATTTGTCAGGGGAAAAACAAGCATATTGAGTCAAGGTTATATTTTGAACCTTATATGTCAGATGAATTAAGAGAAGCTTATATGGATTATTCTTCTACTCAAAATCAGTTGGCAGATTTGTTCACCAGAACAGTCAAAAGAGACTACTTTCTAAAGCTTATGAGACACATTGAAATTGTTACTTTTGATTAGTATAAGATTAAGAAGGAGTGTTGATCAACTATCTCCTAAACAAAAAATGACCTGTCAGAAATGATGACCAACAAAACTAGAAAAGCGCCCAACTATCTGCTTAACAAAAAGTCCTTGTCAAGAATTAATCTTTGTGATGATTTATATATACATTATGTTGAACAAAATCAATCTATTGAAAAAAAATATATATATAGCACTTTCTATTAATCCTTGATTTAAATTTCTACAATATTTCTGAAATTAAATTATAAGTATTTCCTTTTCTGATCTTCCTTTCATACATATAATGAATAACATTGAGAGAGTAAAATTAAACAAGATATTTGAAATAGCAACAAGATGTATAATATTGAGTTACATAATACAAATAAATTCAAAGATATATATGAAACTAATATTCAGCAGCGCCATGCAGAAGCAGCAATGATGGATCTATCTTGCCACCCAAGCAACAAGCAACCCTTGTCCTCAGTTAACCTATACCCATCACATGAATACAAACCCAACAATATTCTCGATTGAGTCACCGCATTAGGACTCAACGCTACTCCTTTGAACCCTCTCCCTTCCATTATCTTCCTCCATTTTTCCAACCTCTCATGTCTCTCTATCCTCTCCTCCCCTTCACACGCCACGATGTTCCGGATTTCTGGTGCAAAGATATACTGCTCCACCTTTGCCCTAGGTGCTGACTCCATCGGAAATGTCGCGTCCAATGAGTCGAAGATGGCTGAGTAGTAATGCAAGGCCTCGAGAAACCGGCCTAAAAAGTATGGCCCGTTATGGCTTGCTTCTTGCTCCACTAAGGTCACGATGTTCGGCGCTTGGTCCCGAATCATAGATAACAAGTTCCCCAGATGGTTCCCCGGAACACGATGGAGGCGGTTAACTGTGTTAACCGCTAGAGCCTCGCCTACACGACGGTTAAACATGTGTGGTTTAAGATCCTCCAATTGTTCTCCAACGGGGTGGAACTCAAACGGGATGCGAAGAGAATGAGCTAACTCTGTTAAGCATCGTCCGGTTTCTCTAACTGATTCAATGCACGGCCCGACACCTGTGATCCTGAGGAATGGGGCACCGCCGGGCCGTGCAGCCAATGCCTGCATGAATGCAGGCCATTGGTAACCCTGGAGGATATCAAGGTCGATGACATGGACACGCTCTTCAGCCTCGAACGCCTCGAAAATTGCTTGGTTAGCAGTAAAGTGAGCGAATTTTATGTAAGGACAAGCTTGGTAGACAATTTGGTAGATCCTAAGGACTTCCATAGCGTTTGATGGGAAGGTAGAGAAACTTGATGATGAGGATGATGATGATGATGATGGTGGTGTTATTTTTTTCATAGATGATGACTTTGTTGTTAGGGTTGCAGCAAGTCTTGCACTCAGAGATTCTGTGAAACATGAAGCTACACGTTGCATGGAGTCGCCTAATGGTGTAACTACTCTGTTGAGCTGGTGTAGGTACCTTCTTGCTAGCATGTATTCTTCTTTTGCAACTGCTTCAGCACAAGCTAGAAGCAAGTGCACCAGTTGAAGTCCACTGTCTTGCTCCTACATATATAATATATTAGTTTTTTAACTCAAAATTCGTAGCTTAAAAATTAGAGTCGACAGAATAGGTCCAGCAAATCGGGCAAGTGCCCGCACCTTTTTTTAAGATGGGTCAAGGTTTTAGGGGCACAACCCTCTAATATATTTGTCTGTCATAATTCACTATTTTCTTTTTAGGGTGGCTCAAAGTTTTAAATACGTGCTCTCAATAATGTCTGTCTGTCTCATTTTTTTACAAGTTTTTTTTAAGTGGATCTAAACTGGACAGACGTACCCTTTTACCACATCAAAAAATCACATGATTAAGTGTGCTCAAATTGATAATATTATGTTAGATAGACCATAAATTATGTTAATTAATTAAATTAAAGGATCAAGTGGCTTAGAATTTGAATTATAATTTATAGGTGAAGTAAGACAAAGGAAAGATTTTATTACCTGTTCAATTCCAACTGGAATAGGAACTGTTAGACTTTGTTGTTGTGCTTGCAACTTTTGGTGTTTCTCTTGATACCTTTCTTGTTGTAAAGCTTGTGAAAGTGAAGCACTAGCCATAGATCCCATTTGATGATACATATCACTCTCTTGAGACATTTGAGAAGAGCCACCACCTCCAAGCATAACTGAGGATTCTTCATACCTTGATGAAGAATTCTGCATTGTTAAACTATCCAAAATTGTCGAAATCGGTGTCTCCATGTCAAAGCATTGATCAGAAGAAGAAATAGTCTTTGTTGATGAAAAATCAACATCAACTTGATAATCTTCTAAGAACTCTTCAATTGCTGGCAATGAAAGATTTTCAACATGTTGCATGTATTGGTTATTTGGTGAATTGAAAACTCTATGAAGTGGACTAAGTCCTTTTCCTTTTTGTTGATTATTATAACTATTTAAACGAGGTGGTGAAAAGGTTTGAATTTGCATGCCTTGTACATAGTTATTATTATAGTTAGAATTATTGTAAGTAGAAGCTTGTGGTGAATTAGGGTTAATGTTGTTCCTAATAGGTGATGATATCATGAAATCATTATCTAAATGGTCATTGAAAAATGATTCCCACATTGAACTATCTGGCGATTGGACTTCCACATCACCATCTAAGTCAAATTTGAGTGAGGGTAGGTTTAAGCTTTGTGGGGTTAGAATACTACTAATTTGATCTAAATCATCACAAGAATTTGTGGCATTTTTCTTTGAAGAATTTGGTTGAACACATTTTTCTTTGATGGGATTTGAGCTTCCACAAAGTGAGTTCATCCTTTTTTGGTGGTTAAATTTCTCTGCTACCTCTCAATAGAACAAAAATAAGTAAGCTAATAATATATATCTAGAAGAGATTTTGTTTTTTTTATGAATCTAAATTTCTAAGGGAATTTTTCACTTAGGCTCTTAGCTTTAATTTTGGTTGGTTTATGGAAAGAGCAATGTGTATGTTTTCTCTCTTTTTATTTAGGTGGGATGCAAAAAAGTACAAAATTTATGAAAAAATTATGAGAGGAAAAGACAGCACTTAATTCCAAGATTTGTGATTTATTTCATGTAGTGTTAAGAGTTTGTGCTGGATTTTAAGAGGCCTGATTTTTGTCATTTATAAACTTATTTTAACTCTACTATTAGAAGGCTTTGGAATACTTGTATTTTCAATACAGGACAAAGGTTTTGGTGGACCCCATTTTCTATGGGCCGGCCCATCTATTTAAAAAGTTCTTTTCATACTCACCTTGGCAATTATGACCATCAATATGCATTTGTAAGTTTTTTATTTATTTATTTTTATTTGTGAATAGTAATAACCACTAAAAATTTACAAATATAACAGAAATTATTAAGGTTTAAATCTTGGTGATGGAGGTATAATGAAAACGCAATCTAGTATATTCACTATTACTAGTTGGGTTAGGATATGTATATTTAAAAAAATTTAGGTTAATAATCTAATAACAATATTTTAATTTTAAAAATAAATAATTGAGATTTCACAAATTTATGTCTCATCTAATTAAATGTTGAAAAATACCGTATTTTTCTTAAAAGTTATTACACAATAGTTTAACATACAAATAAGTCTCTCATGTGAGAGACCTCTCTTTTTCTTATACAACAATTGTGGGTTTTTTTAATTTTATTTAGCGGGTTATTTCTGTTGGGAATTACACCAAATCTATGGAGAAATTCAAATCAATCTTAATGAACAAGACTCAATCAACCCGATCAAAATCTCTTGTTTTTCACTCTTTACTTGAATGAATCAATCTACCTTGATTGTAAGATGATTATGCGCAACAATTAACAATGGAGAAAAGAAAGAAAATTGAGAAGAAAAAGATTAGGGTTTTACGAAATAAGGGGAAGAAGAAGAATTTCTGAAGAGTAAACTCTCTGTCCATAACCTGTGGAAAATCTCGTTAATTTTACAACTGCAAGTGATTACAAGATTATATTTCAAAATAGGAGTTACTCCTTTATTTATAGTTTTAGGTTTGCTTGCTACCTAAGGCAAAGCCTAAAACACAAAAGTCCAAAATACCTATTTTGGTCTAAGTCGAAATCTTGTGTCAAGCAACCTGCTTCGACACTTCAATATCTAATACAACTCGACACACACTAGGCTAATTCGACACACCCTTGAATATGTCGAGCAATATGTTGCTTCGACACAAAGTATTACTATCTCAACACACCACCTAATTCTTTGTGTTTAAGACATCTATTCATCATAAATCTTAACTTCTTGAACACTTCAACCTGCACTCATTTCGTCATGATGTCTGCAATATGATTCTCAGTTCTGCAGTTTTCTAAGTTCATGTTTCTATCGGCTACATGCTCTAGAAGATAATGGAACTTCATCTTGAAGTGTTTGCTTCGACCATATATTATCGAATTCTTCTCCAGATTGATAGTTGACATGTTATCGATCTTCATGGTAATTGCTCCATGATTTTTTCATGTAATCTCTTCGACCAAGTTTACCATCCATGTTGTTGGATATTCATAAAGAGAAGCAGCTATGTACTCTTCTTCACACGATGACAATGTCACTATCGGTTCTTTTCTTGAGCTTCAAGCAACTAATGTACCACCTAGCATAAACACATAGCCAGTTGTGGATTTTCGATCCTTAGCATCACTACACCAACTTGAGTCAGTGTAACCCACTAACTTACATTATTTTCCTTCATCAACGGAAAGAAACAGAATGCCATAGTCGAGAGTTCCTTTCAGATACCTTAGTATCCTCTTCGTCGCTGCTAGATGTGATACATTTGACTTCTGCGTGAATCTACTCACCATACCTATATTGTATGCTAAGTCAGACCTTGTGTGACAAAGGTACCTTAATGACCCAATAAGTCATCTCACTACTACAAAACGCGCATATAACAACGCCAAAATCATCATGGTTTTCCCAAACACCGTGGTGACATGTCTAAACTCTTGTGCTAACATTTTTTTATATTTTTTAATTAAAAGTTTTAAGGGTATAATAACAATTAGTGTTAACAACATGGTGATACAATGAAGCTTTCATGGGTTCAAACCTCATCCCCTCAAATAGTTTATTACTTTGACGTTAATGCGCGTTTTTTTTCATTTTTATTTATATGTAACTAAAAAATAACAAGGATATCACTACGATTGTTTTTTAAAACCGTTGTTAAACGCACGCGCTTCTTTATATATTTTAAACACCAAGTATCCAATTTCCACTGAAAAAAGAAACAAGACGAAATAACCCTAACACCAACGCCGTCGTCATCATCGGGAAGGAAGACAACAACACCGACACATTATTCTCCTTTACGGGACGTAAAATATTTTTGACATAATTATTGTTTAGTTTCCTTTCAATGTCGCATTTAAATACAAAGTCATCCAAAGGTGTTTCTATGTCTTCTTCTTCTGTAAAATCTCGATCTAGAAGTTTATGTGGTTGTGATGGCCTTATGGTTTCGTACCAATGCAAGAAGGGGAAAAATAAAGGAAGGCTTTTTTGGAGATGTCCATTTTGGAGGAGTGATGAAACCTGTAATTTGTTCGTATGGGATGAAGACATAGGAGAAAAGGTGGAAATAAAGACGACATCATTATGAAGTCAGAGTTTGAGATGTCCATTTTGATGGTTATGTATGAAGATTCAAAGAAGAAGAACAAGAATTTGAAGGAAAAACTGAAATCAGAGAGATTATCTGGAAATTTGAAGATGTTATGTTTTATTGTCTCCTTTACATTTAATGTTTACTTTGTTATGAAATGTAATAGTTGAAGTTTAAAATTAGTTATTGGTTCGTTAGTATATTAGTTGAAATGTAATAGTTGAATTTCACTGTTGATGTTGAAACTACAAATGCATTGAACTTGACACGAATGCAACTAAAAGATGATTTCTTACGAGTAAGTTCATCGCAAACTGTTGAATTTTCAATTAGTTACCTGTTTGTTAGATTTAAGCTGGTAGTTTAAGTTGATAACCTTTCATTATATATAAACTTTCATTACATAAGCTTTCATTACATAAACTTAATCAAATCTAAATCCTCTGGCTGAGAGGAAGTTTCACCAATCATAGTTAGCATCGTCATCATCATCATATCAGAAAAAAACCATTTTCCTTATCAACCTTTTTCTTCTTATTCTTCTTCTTCTTATTCTTCTTATCCTCACCCTAAGAGCTCTCACGTACATCTCTGTTGCACAAGACCGACTCCTTTTCTCTTCTTGATTCTGAGGATGGTTTTGTACCACAATAACAACATCTTGATTCTCAGTATTGTTGGTAACATGAGTAGGAGAACTCATTCCAATTCCTTTGGATAAAGTTGGTTTTGTGTTCTTCCGCTTTTATATTGTTTCTTATGATTCTTCATCTTCTCTTGGAAGTTAGAAATATTTCACGCATGCCAAGCTAGTGTGCTCATTATTGGTTCTTTAATTTTATACGCTTTCTTTTCTCTTGGAAGTTGGAAAGATTTCTGCCTACCTCGAGATGTTGAATGATTACATCTCCTTGTCTTTTCAAATTTCATTTTCCATTCTTTGATATTCATTATTACGTATATTTTGATGTAATAATGGTTTTGATATCAGTTTACAAATGGTGTATTGATAATTCTGGTATGATACATTTGAAATTTATTCATAAACAATATCAGAATGGTTATTACTCTTAACTATTGTTATAGAGCGCACACTATTCAAATTACTACAACTATCACTGGATCATGATTGAAAGTAGCACATATACAACAACATGTTACATAACAATGGATGGACATGTGTGATTATATACCTAATCCAACCGTTGTTAAAATACTTTTTGTAGTAGTGTTTGTACTGAGTTAGAACGATATCATCTTCTTCTGAGTCTTTTGACAGTTGCAGTCTTGGTTCAGCAGGTGTTGAAGTCGAGTTACAGTCCTCTATCTCAAATCTCTTGAGTATTTAATTTGCATATCTTCTTTAGTGCATCATGAAACCTCTACTACTCTTGTAGAATTCAATGCCAAGGCAGTATGAAATGACTCCCAGATCAGACATTTCAAATTCCTTACTAAGATCACTTTTGAAGTTTCCGATCTCTTTCTTACAAGTACATGTTATTAACAAGTCATCGACATAGAGACATAGTATAAGCAATTCACTCTTGCTTCTTCTTACATGTATGAAGCAACCCGAGAAAATAAATCTCTCAAAACAAACAATAAAGTCGCCATCAGACATTTATTTATCCCACATAAAGGGAAAGGAAAACATCGAAGAAAACTTGAAGAGGGAGAAATCAAGGTCTAGCAACCAAAATATCGGGTAAGGGAGTCGATTATGTAAGGGGGAAATATTAGCACCCCTCACGTTTGCGGTACTCCACGGGATCCACTCTTGTTGTTCTAATCTAATGGGTGTGTTCAAATCTAAAACTAGGCTATAAAGGGGAAAATGCATGTATGCAAAGTATTATGTACAAGAAGAAAAAATTTCATCAGTCGTGCCTGCCTCGGTTGCGGACCTTTGTGCCTATGTACCACTGTTCGTGCAATGGAGATCAAGGAACTCGTAGTTCACCTCAAAAAATTTGGTTGGTTGCATGTTATTTTATGAAATATGCTATAGAAGCATGTCCTTTGTGAAAAGGTTTTAAAATAAAAATTCCGAAGACAAAATGGTTTGTATTGGTTGGTGTTTTTTACCTTGAAAAGGTTTTATTAATGTAAAGTGTTTTGAAGTCGAACAAAGAAAAAGAGATTTTTTTAAGCATATAA